TACGGAGCTGTTCAACTATGATGAGGAGAAATGTAACCAGAAAAGAGTAAGGGAGGCAGTAGGTCATATGCCACATTCATGTGATGGGGACTCATTGAGGTACAGTGAATCAGATTACGAATGGGTTTAGAGGAAGAGAACCAAGAGGCTGTACAGGTGGTTTGAGAAAGGGGGTTTTCGATTTGGCTTAAGGATAAAGGTGGGGATCGTAAGTTTGCTTCGAAGGCTATTTCAGATCTTGATATGGCACGTGAGCTTGGAGTTGAGGTTGATGGGGATCTTTGTAAGAGGGGCAAGAACATAAGACCCCAAAAAAACTCTTCTTCTTCGACTGAATCCTTCAAACGACAAAGGAGTGAGGAGGTAACTTCGGTTTTGAGGGAAACTAGAGACGACATGGAAGTTGATCCTCAACTTCCTGCTCTGGACTTGATGATGTTGTCATTTGGGGGTGAGGAGGCTGCTCCAAGTCAGCCCCCAACTGATAAATGAAGATAGTGGCGTGGAATTGTAGGGGTCTTAATGATCCATACTCTCCTACGATTCTCTACCTAGTATGGATCTATCAAATGAAGTTACCTATGTTTTTATTTCTTTCAGAAACTAAAATGAAAGTTGCTAGTGCGGCAACTAAGTTAAGTGCTATTAACCTTACTTCCGCTTTTGGTTGGGATTCGGATGGAAGTAGCGGGGGTCTCTTAGTCTTAGGGTGGTGTAATGATGTAGTTGAATGCTTGTACTCTTCAAAAAATTTTATCTTTGTTATAATTATCTCTATGAATGGAAGTATGAAATATGTCCTTTTCTTTTATGGTGAGCCTCTTGTAGAAAATAGGAAAATTATTTGGGAGCAACTTTAATGGTTTTTAGAAGAATACAAAAATGTTCTAGTCATAGGAGATTTTAATCAAATCGAAAGTGGGAATGATAAACTAGGGGAGTCAGCCCGAATAAGAGGAATAGAGGCCTTCCTGGATTGGAGGTTTTGTAGTAATGTGACAGAAGTTCCTTTTTCAGGACCAAGATTCACATGGAGTAACAAAAGGGAGGGAGAAGATCTTATTCTAGAACGGCTGGATCGTGCCTACATTACAGAGGAATAGTTTGCTCATTCCCCGGATGGGAGAATCTTTCATGAGCTAATAGTTTGCTCCGATCATGCGGCCATTACTTATCAAGAGCAACCTAGGTCAACTACCTCTAATCGACCTTATCAAATTGAAAATTGGTGTCTCAATTTTCCGGAAATCAAAGACATAGTGGAATCTGTATGGAAGAAGGAGTTTAAAGGCTCTCACATGTTCCAGCTTTCTAGGAAACTAAGTTTTCTGAGATCCTCCATGCAACACTGGTGTCTAGGAAATATGAAGGTTTGGGGGATCAACTGGAAAAAGATAACTAAGGATCTTCAAAGCACAGGGATGAACATCACATCGATTAAGGAAGGGTAGAGATGATCATTGGGCGGGCCGGGCCGGGCCAAGGCTAAAAAATTTTGCCCATTTTTCGAGCCGGGCCGGGTCGGGCCAAACTTCGGGCCGAAAATTTTGTGCCCAAACCCGCCCAAAGTTTTCGGGCCGGACGGGCTTTTCGGGCCATTTTTGGGCCGGGCAAAAAAAATCAACTAAAATTGCATAAAAACGCATTCCCAAACCCGCCCAAAAAAATAATTTTTCGGGCCGGGCCGAGCCCAACCCGATTTTGGGCCGGAAAAATTTGCCCAAAACCCGCCCAAAATCAGGCCGGGCCGATGGGCCGGGCCAACTTTGATCACCTCTAAGGAAGGGGAGGGATATGCCAAGCGTATCAATATGCTTTTGCCAGAAAGCCAATTGTGCTTTAGTTTTTGGAAGCAAAGGATGAAGGCAAATTGGGTGAAGCTAGGGGACTGCCCAACGCCAACAATGTATAGGAAGGTAAAGCAAAGACAGTTACACAATGAGGTTTTGACTTTAAAAGATGGAAATGGCGCGTGGGTAGAGGGGCCTAAGGGTGTGGAAGAGATGATTTTAACTTCAATAAAGGATGTCTACAACCCAGTCATTACCGATACTCATGAAGAAGATATCGATCTGTTGCTTAGGCAACTTGATATTCCAGTGCTAAAGGAAGAGGATAAAAACTGGCTCGATAGGGAGTTCACTGAAGGGGAAATCAAACAGGCAATGTTCAAGATGCACTGTTCCAAATCTCCTGGCCCCGATGGGTTTACCGTGGATTTCTTTAAGACCTACTGGCATGAAGTAGGGCAACTGGTGATTAAGAGTGTAAAACAGTTCTTGAGAACAGGAAACATGCTCAAAGAATGGAACCAATCTTTACTGGTTTTAATTCCGAAAGCTGGCAAACCAATTTAGACCAATTAGTTTATGCGACACGATCTACAAGTGCATATCCAAATGCTTGGTTAATAGGCTCAAGTCGGTTCTCCCAAGCCTCATCTCAGAAAATCAGCATGCTTTTATTCCAGGAAGGTATATGGAAGACAATATTTTGTTGAGTCATGAACTTATGCATCTTATTAACTCGAGGAAGAGTTCCAACTTCACGGCCATCAAGATTGATATGTCAAAAGCATATGATAGAGTGGATTGGTCTTTTCTCTTGAAAGTCCTGCAAGCATTTGATTTCTCTAGACACTGGATACGGATGATATCACAGTGTGTTTCAACGGTGAGTTTCAAACCCATCATTAAAAGGCAAGCTTCTAATCATTTTGTTCCAAAGTGTGGTCTGAGACAAGGAAACCCTCTCTCTCCGTACCTATTTATTTTCTGCATGGATATTTTGTCGAGAATGTTATCTTTGGCAGAAGATATCAATTTGATTAAGGGTCTGAAAGTCTCACGAAGATCTCCCTCGATATCTCACCTTTTCTTCGCAGATGATGCCATGCTTTTCTTCAAGGCAAACAATGAATCGTGTTTGTGCATTACAGACATCCTTTCTAGGTTTGAGAAAGCTTCAGGTCAACAGTTAAATCTCCAGAAGTCTGTCATAAATTTCTCACCGGGAGTTCCCCCTGAGGATAAACTGGCTATCAAACAACTTCTCTCTATGCCTGAGACTGGGAATATGGGGATTCACCCGGGTGCCCCTATTGATATTAAGGGGAAGAAAAGTTCCTCGTTCCAGTTTCTGATTGACAAAGTATCGGAAAAAATCATCTCGTGGGCCCCTTTACATCTGTCACAAGCGACGAAGTTGATTCTCATTAACACGGTGTTAGTAGGCATGTCTGCGCATGTTATGAAGTGTCTGAAACTCCCCCAGAGCATAGCAAACAAAATTGACTCCCTTATCACTCGGTTCTGGTGGGCAGGAAATGGGAATAAGGGCATGCACTGGGTGAGTAGAAGTATCATTCAACTACCGAAGAGTATGGGAGGGTTGGGAATTAGGGGAATGTCGACACTTAATGACGACGCTCTTCTTTTCAAGCAAGCAACAAGGATGCACCTTAACCCACAACTTCTGCTATCAAGAGTTCATAAAGGTTTTCAACCATGCAGTATATGCCATATCACTAAGCCTTATAGAAGCCAAGGGAATCCTTCAATGGGGAGGTCTAGCATTCAGAAAGTTGCTCAATCCTTCAAGAAGGGCTTTGTGTGGAAAGTGGGAAATAGAGAGAGTATTAGGGCTATCAGCATGCCGTGGGTTAAAGGGGAAACTCCTCTAGTTAAGGAAGGTTGTACTCTGAGGGACGCTTTGAATTGGAGAGTAAGTGATTTCATTGACAGTGATACTTTAACTTAGAAGGCAGGAAAAATAAGGGATTGTTTTGATTGGGATAGTGCGAAAGCAATCATGGCAATGGAGCTTCCGCACACTCTTGAAGAGGATTTCCTCTATTAGAATTATCACCCCTCCGGCAAATACACAGTTAAAACTGGGTATTACTTTCTCTCAAAGGATGGGGGAATGGAAAGCACTGCATCACTGAATAGGGAGCTAGAATTCGTAAAGCTAGTCTGGAGAATGGACATCCAACCGAAGTGGAAAGTTTTCCTGTGGAAGTTGTTTCATGATGGAGTTGCGGTCAAAGGTAATCTAGCTAGAAGAGGGGTACAAGTTGAAACTGAGTGTGATCACTGTGGGTTGGCTCTGGAAGATAGCCAACATCTGTTTAGATTCTGTTCTCTGGCAAAGGAAGTATGGGAGAATAGCCCCGTACCTATTTGCCCTGATAGGCCTGAATCCTCTTATTCCTTGAGGGGATGGATTCAGCACTATATCTTGCTCTTTAATAGCGAGGATGGAAAGAATAGTAACCGATGTGCTTTGTTCATAGCATCACTATGGGGTATATGGAAAATGAGAAATGCTACATGCTTTAATGGAACCACAGGGACATGTAGTCTGGTTTTGGAGTTCATAAAGCTTGCAATGGAGGATCATGAGACCTTCAGACAACAAATAAGTCCGCCAAATGAAAGGGAGGTTGCCAGCAAGGGTAACCCTCTTGCTCCCCCGGGTTTCAACCATGTGCAGCTAGTAAAGGCAAAGCTTGGGTTTGACAATTTTATAGTGGAGGCTGATGGATCATGGGATAAGAAAACAATGAGAGCAGGGGTAGGCTGGGCAGTTAAGAATAATATACAAGGTGTTGTCCGGGAAGAGGGGGGAGACTTATGGTTCTACAGCGTCAGTCATTCAGTGTGAGGCCTGGGCTTGTTTTGAAGCTTTGAAGTGGGCTCGGGCTAAAGGGAAGCAAGGAATTCTTCTCTTATCTGACTCTATATCTCTTCTAAATAATTTACAAGATAATCAAGGAAAGGAGATCTCCATTAATTGGCTGCTAAAGGAACTACGAATAGTTGGAGCGGCGTTTCAAAGATGCACAATTTTAAAAGTTGATAGAGATCAGGTTCAACGAGCCAACGACATTGCTAGGAAATGTCGGATAGGTTTTCCTTATTTATTGTAGTTTTTCTTTGTTCATTTGCAATTGTCAAAAAAAAAAAAGATAATATAAGTGCTTTTAAGAAAGTCAATGATGATATAAGAAAGATCGCACACATCAATATTTGTATATATACTCACTCTTGCTATTATAAATACAAATAATATTAATTGATCGAGTAATCATATCAGATAACATGTGAATATACGATCATACGAGTATTTATTGTAGTACAAGAACGCTCCTCGAGTGTATGAACACACGAGCGTATGTACATGCTTAGAAGCAGGATAAATGTTATATAGGTGGAATAAAGCTATCTCTCCCCTCTTTGTTCTGGCGTAAGACCTCCTTTACCACACTGAGGGCAGCTCTTTAATCCAAATCCTTGACATTCAAAACACCTACGAAATGCAAAAAGAAACACTAATTAAATAATACGCTCCAGCTAATGGTAATTAGTGGGACTAATCAGCCGACAGTAAGACTAATACTAATATAATCACTGACATTAAAAGTGAAATTAATTATTGTAACTCACTTCCATCGCTCAAAAATGTTGCCGTTCTTTTTGTTCCTTCCGGTCCCCTGAGTAATAAACAAGATCAACATATAATAATTATAACTATTTAATTATAACAATAGGAATCTTTATATTATAAAATAACTACGTATTAAACTAATGTCTTCCAAATTCCTACTATTTTGAATTATCATGTTCTCACTTGTAAATTATAATAGCTTAAGTGTGAAGGCTTCCAATGCCCTTAGACGAAGAGGTTGTGTAAGGGATTCTAATGCCCCGCCTATTATTAATTGATTCTTTAATTTGTTTAATTATTGTATTCCTTAAATTTCTACTTTGACAGTGTCACATAAATATACTCCGTATTTTATATGTAATTGAATTGCCTTATGTATTACGGAGTAATGTATATACGTTCAAAGTCACTCCATCATGATTGATTATTTGGAGTTAGGAGGTGATACGTGGAGTGTAATTGTATTAATTTAAAAGTTTAATTTTGATTTCTAGAACAACATGCATATATAGGATATAATCTTGTATATGCTTAACATATATCAAAAGTCATTTCATAATGACTTTGTTAATGTATTTTGAAATTGAGAATTTAACTTATAATGTCTCACAATAAATATATGGTGAAATACCATACCGATTTCACCTTATTAAGGACTTACTCACTAGCAAAATAAAGGTATTAATTGTACAAATGCAACTAATAAAGTATAATTAAGGTGCCTAAGCTAATAAATTCAAATAAATAAGTACCTTGCATCCAGGACACTCTATGGCACCTTGGCCTCGACATGCCTCACACTTCTTAAATATCTGCGTATGGCTAATCGATCAATAATCATCCCTTATCTTATTGATTGGGTTAATAATAATAAAATTCGTATAATATTCCCTCTGTCTCTAAATATTGTTCCTCGGAGTGAGTATAAACATATAATATCAGTCGCTAACACGTTAAGTAGTATAGTATGTACATACTTACCGAAGAGAAAGCACCGGATTTAGCAGCAGAAGGGGTGAATCTGCTAGGTTGTATAATCGGACCAACTACATATGATTCTTTGAAGTCTGGTTTGATATGGTGGAATAGTTTATTATGATGGTGGTGATGAGAAGGCAAGCTTGTGAGAGAGCAAGAAAAGTGTGGCAACAACATCATCATCTCATATGTTTCTTGTGCACCACCACCACCACTTGTTTGATGATGTTATTAAATGGATATCCAATCTTGGTATGTACACGTGGAGCCCAAATATTTAAGAGAAAAAAAAATGGATGATAGACTTTTGTAAATAAAAATATAAAATTGTTAATCAAATAAGATTAATTATAAAATTGTTGATTAATTGGTTTTTACTCGTGCATATTTAAGGTGATTGTAGCTTTGATCAATTTATGTTGTAATCTTGTAGGCTTGGTGGCTAAGAGCATTCGATCTCATAAAACTCGTACGTGTATTATTTTGAAATGTATTTGTAGTAATATCAATTTTCTCAAAAAAATAAAAGATTAAACCACAACTACATAATTACAACGATAATACCATTAATTAAGCTTATTAATGTTCGATATGATGTTCTAAAATATAATTAGGAGAATAGTTTAAAGACCTATTTAATTTGTCGTGTCAATGTGATTAAGACTATTATTGACTGTATGATCTTACAAACTACTGTATTTCAAATCACCAATCAACCACATTAGCTTAGTTTTATTTATTAGTCAATTATGCATATCATAATAGAATATGAAACATATGGATTAAGTATGATATCTGTTGTATTGTAATTAAAATTTGAAACAATGACTCATTTGCTTGCTCATAGTTTATTTTTTCCTTTTTTTATCACATTCAAAGACATGGCAAAGTCACAATTTCTACTAGAAATGTGTAATTTAGTCTACTCTGTATGAAATTAACATGCAAAATATGTCAGGATTATATACTGTAAAGATGGATAACTCAACGACGTAATACAATAAAACTAATCCATTTATTTTTTAAACGTGCTAGAGATTTAATTATATTGTGTGCATATTCAATCAATTGGACTATCCATAAGTTTGGATTAATGGATTTACTAAAATTTTGAATGGTAATTGGGTTAGATATTATTTCCCCCGAAATTCCAAGTTTCCAACCCCTTTAACACCCAACTAAAAAAACCTACCATAAAACAAACAAAAAGATAGGGGAAAAAAAAAAAAAAAGAAATTACCGTTTTGAAAAACAAATAAAACTTGAAGAAAAAAATGAAATCCTGGTTGATTAATGGCAAGCTTGATGATTCTACCAACAATAGTGAACCCAGTTCCTACTAATTCATTCTTCATTTTGGTTTGATTGCTGATTTTCTCTATCCTCATTTGCTTCAATTTGTTAATTTTGATTTGATCATCGAATTTCTCTTCCGCAAGACGATCTCTCCGTCATTTCAGAAGGTCAGTTTCTTTGTAATTCTGAATTCAAAATTTGTTGATTTAATTATTATATTTTATGTTTTAATTTGTTGATCATTATGTGTAATTTGCCTGTTACTTTAATTTTATGATTCAATTGTTGTTGATGTCTGGAAATTATTGGGTTAATTGGTGAGAATTGTTGGTCAATTTGGGCTAAGATGAGTGACTTTTGTAGGATTAGGGTTTTATGTTGCATTGTTTATGGAGTAATTCGAAAATTAGGGTTTCCTCGATATGACAATTATACAATTTGGGGGAATTAAAATTCAGCTCTCTGCTGTAGAATTGTCAGCAATTTGAAGAAAAGCATACATAATCGTTGTTATTCTGAGATTTGTTATGTTAATGCACATACTTCCTTTTTTTCTGTTAGGTTCGGGGATTGTTTCTGTTTTATCTCAATGCGTAAGTCAATTTTTGGGGTGGCTATTGGGGCTAGCTTTAGCTCAGAGATTTCACAATATTTTGAGATTTTGATATCGGTGGAGCGGAGCTTGATATCGAGCCTGGTTTGAGGTTACACTCCTAATGTCACTATGTTAGTGATGAGAGTTGGATGGGAGGGGGAGATTATCTTGCACTTTATTTTTGTAATTGTTAGTTATCTAGAGAATTTGTTTTCTTACAAACATTTTCATGTATAGATAGAAGAATTTATTTATTACTTAAGTGTTATTTTTGATGTATAGTAAGAATATAAAATCAAGATCAAACCCTTATTTTTGATGTTTTCAAACATTTCTTTTATGCTCTCTTTTTCTGTTTGGCTGATTTTGGATTATATTTCAGGGGTTCACAAATGGCTACTAAGCCGGAAAACAATTCAATTCCCAATCCTACACTTTCCTCTCAATCTTCTGGTCAAGTTCATGCATCTGTTGATTCTGAAGTTGATCCAAACTCTTACTTGCTTGAGAAATTCAAACTTTATGAAACTCGAGCGGTACTGAAATTGTCGCATCTGATTATTTTAATTCACTTAAGTCCTCATCTTTAGTTAATTAAGGTTTTTGAATTTGTTTCGTTCAGAGGTTTTATCTTATCGGGAGTGATCGTAACAAGAGATTCTTCCGAGTATTGAAGATTGATCGATGCGAGCCATCAGAATTGAACATCAGTGAAGATCCAGTGGTGTATTCACCACAGGAGGTGAAGAACTTGTTGCAGAGGATTGCAGAGGGTAATCGGGCTACTGGAGGCTTGACTTTTGTTGCAAAGGTCTATGGCGTTGCTGGTTGTATAAAATTTATGGAGTCTTATTATTTGATTTTGGTCACCAAGCGCCGGCAAATTGGGTGTATATGTGGGCATGCTGTTTATGCTATTGATGAAAGCCAGATGATTACAATTCCTCATGCGTCTGTTCAGACTGATGTTGCATATTCTAAGACAGAGTTGAGGTAAATTCAATGCCTTGGAGAGTTTGAATTCTCATGCCTACATCTTTGAAACTTTGTTGGGTTTACAATTCTGTGACTGTTTGATTGCAGGTACAAGAAGCTTCTGTCAAGTGTTGACTTGACAAAGGATTTCTTTTACAGCTATACATACCCAATCATGCAAAGCTTGCAAAGAAATGTGCAGTTCAAGGATTCGGTTGGAATTCATTATGACAGCAGATTTGTGTGGAATTCATACTTGACTGAAGCTGTTCGCACAAGATGCAAAAATAATATTTGGACTGTTGCATTGGTTCATGGGCACTTTAAGCAAGTATGTAACTCTTACTTTCTTATGGGTCTCTACATTATTTTTAAAAAAGTCATTTGTGTGTCATGGGATGTTGGTATCTTATTATACACCAAGGCTAGTGATGAGTAGTGATTTAGACTTTAAGCTAAGATATTTTTGAGAAGGGTCTCTTCTTAATGTGTCCTCGATGAAATTGCTTCTCGGTATATACGACTTGTTGACATTAGTAATTGTGATTTTAGCCTGGAATATACTTTTAGGAATGGTCTTGGACCGTTAATTCTTTCATAAGGGCTTTTTGGAAATAATACATATGTACTACAGTATTATAGGATGTGTGACTGATATAGTAGCAAACACCTTGGAATATCTCAAGTACTTGCAGTTAGGCTGTGTTGGTTCAATAATATTGAAATAGAATGAAATCGAATTAGATAAGAGGGGAAAAGCTGTCAATAACTATTGCTTCTATGGACTGTTTGGTTCTGCTAATGGGGTAGAATTACTTATAGAGTACAGAATACTTGTTTTAATTTTATTTACTCTGTTACATATTTATATTTGGTTTTAATTGTTTTCTTGTCCATAAACACTTTCTACTTTGAGATAATAATTATGCAAAATTTGTTGTCTCAATTTTTTCGAATATATTTGGATTGAAATCACATATTGTTGTGATTATAGGAAGATCTGGAAACTATCATAAATCTGTATTAAATATATCATTTACTGTGACTGTAAATTTTTTTTCCAAATTTGATGGATTATCTAAATTAACAGTAAGATGTACTGAAAATTATTATCAATACAAAATTTTACCCAGATGTCATCAATCTTGAGAGCACAACTAACATCTGTATAACCAGAAAAAAAAAATTATTGAATGAGAAGAAAGTCGAAGTCTAATCCCAAAAATATGAATGTAAGGTCAGTGGGATCAACAAACCTTCATATTGGAAATATTGTTCTAGTACTTGCATTTTTTGGGGTCAAACTTCAAATTCAAGAACAATAAATCTTTAATACAAATTAGTCTTTTACAATTGAGGTTGTGTTCTATATAGAACTGTTTCATTTTTATTATCTCTCATGGTAGCTTGTTAAAATTGGACCCGGAAATTTTCCATTAGTTTGAAGAGTTTTCTACATCTGAGATCAAAGAACAAATTGATTGACTTTATCGATTTATTTGAGTGAGAGATTGAAGAGGAGAGGAAAGGGGAAGGAGGAGGGAGATTGCAATTGAAGAGCCATGATATCTGGAATAAGGAATGGAGGAGGGTAACAATGTATTAATGACTTGCAGCAGGGTTGGAATGGGTTTAGTATGGGTACAACTGTAAAAAAGGCTACCCCCAAGGAATGTTAACTGTTACTTCATCCCACAAACCAAACAATATATGGATTGCTTTTATTGAATCCGTTTACCGCCCTTCAAAAGCTCATACAGTCATACCAAACGTGCCCTTAGTTATTCAGTGGTCTAGGAAATGACATTATAACCGGTGAGGGAATTATGGTATATTCTGTTCTTATGCAAGGTTTGGTTTCATGTCAACTTATTTTTGACAAAGAGACTTTACTTATTATTAACAAAGAGGCTTAAGATCTATTGCGTATTTTAAGTAGTGGTTTTCATTTGAATAAGGAAATTGGTATTGGTTGCTTTTATTTTTCTCCCTCTTTAGTGTAAATGCTGTTATGAATATGCTCTATCTTGCAGAACTATATTTGTAGTAGTCATTTGTTGAATGTAGTAATTTAGTTGAGTGGTTGTTAGATTTTTGATAGTTTACTTATCATCTCTATTGCCTACCCGCAAGATAATATCTCGTCATGCTATATGCACCTGATCTTTATAAGAACCTTTCTTGGCAGATGAGGATGTCAATTTTTGGACGTGATTTCAGTATTGCTTTGGTGTCTAGACGGTCTCGTCATTTTGCAGGGACTAGGTATACTCTAATTGCATTTTGCTTAACTTTATGATGTTATACACTACCTGATTCTTTTCTTTCTCCGATTATAATCAGTTCAAATTGATCTTTTTATTGAGATAAACCAAAAATCCATTTTTGGGTAGTGTTATGCTGTCTGGTTCCATTTTGTTTTGTTTGCATTTACTGCTGTGTGCAAATCCATGTGAACTTTGTCCTGTTTCAGTGATTGAAGCTGAAATTTGATCTACATAAGCTTTATGCTTTGTTTTACTTGTGGGAATTGTGTGCAAGAAGGTGGCTGAGACAGTGTTTGCTTGCATGTGTTTTTGCTTGGGCAGGGCTGTGTAGGGAGGGTAATGCATGTGCAAATGTGAGCATGTCTATTACAGGTTGCTGCTACTTAATCACAGGTCTCATGCATTTGTGATTATCTATTGCATTTTCTCCTTCAGTATAATAGAAAGATATCATGGAAGAAAACAAAAGAACTTTTTAAATGAGTATCTGAAGTGGGAGTTCTTAACTACCTATGTGTTTCCACTTTTATCTGAATTTCTGTTTCTCATTAAGATCTTGAGAATTATGAGATTCATGTGAGCTATCCTGATACATATATTTTTTTATAGGTACTTAAAAAGGGGAGTAAATGATAGGGGAAGGGTAGCAAATGATGTTGAAACAGAACAAATTGTGCTTGATGAAGATGCTGGTTCATGTAAGGGGAAAATGAGTTCTGTTGTGCAGATGCGGGGTTCTATTCCTCTTTTCTGGTCCCAAGAGGCTTCAAGATTCAGTCCAAAGCCAGATATAATTTGTAAAGCCTTTGTCGTGCTTGTTATATAACTTATTGGTGTTTTTTTTTTTTGCATAACAATGCCTAGCTCATCTCTCTTTGATCTCAGTGCAGAGATATGATCCTACTTATGAGGCGACCAGATTGCATTTTGAAGACCTTGTTGAGAGATATGGAAATCCTATAATCGTGCTTAACCTAATTAAGGTTTCTTATAGCGTCAATATAAATTCCTTCTCTTCATTCTTCAACAAGTATCCTAAGTGATGGTCTGTTGGACCTTTTCTTTTTGGACCTCTATGCAATTATATAGTGAGGGTTATGAAAAAGTTAGACTGATATTATAAGGGTGTAGTGGATGCACAAGCTGGAGGCGATTTACTGTAATCACTAAGGAATTACTGTTTAATGTAGTATCCCATCCTTTCTAGAGCATTTCAAACAACAAGATTATCAATTTTTCATAGGCAAGTGCCAAGGGGGGAACTATCTGTGGCGGTGTGGCCTTTGCCATGCCATCATCAATCATCATGTAGAATTTATGGATGATAGTTCAACTGTCATGTTTGCAGCTATGTACCTCACAGATGCCACCTCTGAATAGTTAAATTGAGGAGTAAAACCAACTTGGGTAATTAGCCAGAGCAAAGAGGGAGTGCTTGGAAAAGCATAAAGTTGCTGATCACAACAGTGGCATTTACCCTTGTATCATTCTTTAATTACTTCACCACTATGCTACACCTTCCGCAGTTCCTCATCTCACTAATTTCCCTCCCCTTGTCCTCTTTTCTGCTTGACAACCCTAACTATTCCCTTACATTGCTTTACTGATGATTTTATAGAGCACATCCTTTGTGATGTGTATTGTATTTTAGGGCTTACAGTTAGCTGGCTCGCATTGTTAATTTTCATTTTTCCTGCTTGTACATTTATGACAAACAAGACTTCCATCTTCTAGGATTTTCCCTCCTGCCTTTCCTGTAGATTTTGCCATATTGCTGCTCAGCTGAGAAATTCTTTCTTTCTTGAAGCTCACATAAGTTTTACGTTGCAGACTGTTGAGAAAAGACCCAGAGAAATGATGCTTCGACGTGAGTTTGCAAATGCAGTTACATATCTAAATGAGATTTTTTCTGAAGAAAAGTATCTTACTTTTATTCACTGGGACTTCCATAAATTTGCAAAGACGTAAGAATGACATGTTTGTGTAAAAAGAAAGAAAAGTTAAAGAAAATCAGTCCTGCTGATGGCTCACTGTTCTATCTTTTTTACGGTGCCAAACAGGAAGACTGCTAATGTTTTGGGAGTTTTAGCTAGTGTAGCCAGTCAAACACTTGATAGGACTGGATTTTACTTCAGTGGAAAAGCACCTGTTGTGAAAAAAAGAGCTACTCCATTAAGCAGAACTGGTACTCTAAGGTACATACTCTATCTGTTCAGCATCTACGAAGGCATTCTGTGGGTGTGAGGACTTGATTGCTTTGCTGTTACAGTCTTACCTTTGTGCAATTACCGTTTACTGTTGCTTATGTAGAATCTGGTCTAAAAATATCTACGAAAATACGTTAATGATTGTGTAGCATGGATTCCGTATTATTTAATTACAAACACCTGCTAGTTAGCTAAAGGGTTTGGTTATAAAAGTCTTTAGTGTTGTATTTAGGCTATGATGTGATCTTAATTTTCCGATTTGACTAAACATTTTCTCTAGATTGATCGTTAATAAACAAATTATATTCTCTATTGAGATGTCTTTAGATTCATATTAATGTCTACTTTCAGAGCATGTTTTTTCATATTTTTTTTAAAATCATGGAATTAAAGATATCTAGTGACAAGTGCATGCAAACAAAGAGATATGGTCTGATTTGGTATGGTCTCATCTGATCAATTATGACACAAGCAAATATTTACTTAAATTAATTGAACTGGACTTATTCTAAGACAGGAATTTGGTTTTAAATTAATGCTTTCGCATAATTAGAAAAATGGGGGCTGTAATGATTTGTGCCAAACTGCCAATTAAATACGGAGCATCAAGATTAAAGGTGATTGAGTGGTGAATCAAGGTCCATGCTAGGTTGATCCGTTGATAGGTCGGACAGGTTTCCATGTTATTAAATGTGGATAATTGTTTTAAAGCTTTTGAGTGTAAATGAACCTGATGTTTGGATTTATGTTTCCTGTTCAGGATTCTTGTTAAATGTATCCTTTTGTCTTTGTTTTGAGAAGAGGGAATGTATCCCCCCTCCCCCCAAAAGACAAAATGAAGTCGTCGGAATGCAGTTTATTTCTTTTAACACAGCATACAATTACTAATATCACTAAGCCTCTGTTATAAAATCCCTGCACATCCTTTCTAGTAATTTGGAATTATCCTCATGTGCCATCATTTGTTATCAGCTCTAGGGATGCTCCTTTAAATGATCTTAGAGCCAATTCTGGATCCCTTGCAAGAAGTGCAAGCACCAATGAATTGATTACTTCTTCAAATAGAGAGCGAGATTCTGATGCTGGCAAGCTTGTCAAGAAAGATTTATATAATGGTATTGAACCACGTTATCAGAGTGGAGTCCTTCGGACTAACTGCATTGACTGTTTAGACCGCACAAATGTAGCCCAATATGCTTATGGTTTAGAAGCATTGGGTCGTCAGCTCCAGGCGATGCAAATGTCAGTTGAGTCAAAAGTGGATCCAGATAGTAGCATTGCTACAGCGCTCATGGACATGTACTGGAGTATGGGTGATGCTCTTGCACAGCAATATGGTGGTTCTGCTGCTCACAATACAGTATGCATCTTTTGTACTCGGTTCATTGGTCTTCTTATAATCATAGATCCTTTTCCCTCTCATGGTTAAAACGAAATTTTGTGATTTTAGGTGTTTCCAGATAAGCAGGGGAAATGGAAGGCTACAACTCAATCGCGGGAGTTTCTGAAGTCTATTAAGAGATATTACAGCAATGCTTATACTGATGGAGAAAAGCAGGATGCAATAAATCTGTAATCTCTCTTTCTCAACATTAGACTACTTTTTTTTTTTTTTTTTTTTTTTTTACACAATTGTGGGGATACTTTTACTGCCATGCGTGACATTTTATCAGAGTTGGTGGCTTGGGAGTTGGGACTGGTTGCTGATTCATCCTTTGTATAAGTCGGGTACTTGTGTTGGACACCGGTATGTGTCCAAGTGTCCGACTCAGCTATTTTGTGAAAACTTTGCATAATTTGGTCCAATATGAAAGTGACAGCATGTTCCTACTCATGTTGGACTGCTGTGTATCAAAGTGTACATAATTTTGGGTACTTGAGATGAACTGAAGAATCGAGTAACATTGCCCTTGATTTCCACATGAATTGGTTTCGAATACTTCCTTTGACTAGCCTAAGCCACCCACCCTGATAGATTGAGAGTTCATAACTTGCTGTTTTTCATTTCATATCCTCACTATATTTTCATCACATTCTTGTTATGAACCAATGTATAAAAGGCTCAAGGTGCACCAAGGTGTTTCCGAGTTCCCTGTGCCTAAGACGTGCCTCAATGAGGCACATATAATAAATAATATAAAATTATCTGAAAAAACTGTTGTGTGCCTCAATGCACCTTAAGCTGCACCTTGGTGCGCCTCATCAAATTTCCTCGCCTAGACCACAAAAGTGCATGACCCCTAACGCTTTGCGCCTAGGCACACATTTTCAAACACAGTCATGAACTTCAATGTGCGAGGAAGAGGATGAACATGACTGGCAGAAAGAAAATTTCATGAATTGCCTTGATTTTGTTGGTATATCTGTACTCTATTTCTCTTTCCCCCTCATTATCCTCTCTTGCAGTCTGGAAATTTGATGCCTTAGGGCCTGTAATTTTCACCTGAAAAACCTGACTTTATCATGTACAACAAATTTGATTTTATTTGAAGTTATCTTTAGCTGGGAATTGAGTATACTAGCTCTTATTAGAACTTAGCCCAATCCTTACTTATAAGGCTTGAAACATTTGTTCATAAGTTAATAAGAGCAAGGCCTTAGTTTTGGTACACTAGATTATCTGCTTATGATTCTTAGTTGGTCGAGGAATTGATTCCTCTTTTTTCTTTTTTCCTTTTTATTTCTTTATATGCGGGAGTGTTGTAGCTAAATAATATCACTCTGCCTTTCCAAGACAGTTAGCTAAATGGTTGAATTCTAACTTGTTATATCTTTTACATTTTGACCATCAGATTCTTGGGTTACTTCAGACCAAAAGAAGGAAAGCCTGCTCTTTGGGAGCTGGATTCTGATTATTATCTTCATGTTGTAGGTGTTGGAGATGATATCATCTCAGATAAGTGGTAACATGTCACCTTTTCATCCGTTTTCCTCCTTTCCCTGAAATTAATCTCTTGAATCGGCTGCAGAATATTGAAGTAGTTATGCTTATTAACTTGTGTATGCTTGCTTTTGTTTGGGCTATAATTTTTTTTTATTATACTTGGATTACCTGCTGTATTGTATTTCTCTGATTGAGAAATGCCTTTAACCAGTATGATCTTGATGTGCTTTTTGCAGCTTCAGCAATCCTCCAACTGATGCCATTCCCTTAGGACAAAAGGCTTCTTTGGAACCTGTGCCTGCTTGTAGAGAAGACTTCTCAAGGATCAAACTGACCTCTTTTGATAAACTCATTGAGAGGACATGCAGTTTGATAAAAGATGTGAGGCTCTGTTGTGAACCAGGTCAAAAGCCTGCTGGTATTGCAGGAACTTCTGGAGTGGCACCTGATGCAATGTAAGCTTTCTACATTTTATGTTCTTCATTGTGAGAAAGCAATTTGCTGAAGATGTTATGTTTTGCCTTCTGGCGGAAAAGATAAATCTTCTTGAATTCAAACTTCGCCACTCTTTCTGTGTCCTCAGATGATGATGCACGTTCAATTTGTAAAATATTCTTTTTGGGAGAACAAAAGTTGATCTTATGCAATTAATGCATTAGCTGCTTCGTTGTTCCTATGCATGTCTGATTCCTGAACTGAATTTATACCTTTTGTGCAGAGAGATACAACTCAAGAGCCCAAACTGGATTTTTGGCTTAAGGAAAGATGAACAAAATGGTTCTACTCCAAAGGTGGCCTCAAGCACAAACACAAATGGTGTCTCAGAAAATGACAGCATGTCTAATGGTATCTGTGATCTCAATATGCTTTCTCAAGTAGATGATTGCAATGAAGAGAGTATCTTCCAAAGGTTTGTAATGTTTTTGTGTGCTTCTAGGTCGATTCAATTTTTGATAGGATTGACAAATAGGTATTATTATTGACTGTCAAATCTACACATATATTTTTGACAATTGACATGCACACGCTGGCTAAAATTATTCATGAACTATGAGCATCATTGGCTACACACACTTGTTGATCTGGATAACATAATATGGCCTTAGATGGAAGCAAGTAGTGCTTTTTTACAGAAAAAAGTATGGCCTTTACAGCTGATTGTTACTATCTTGCAGTCTTGCTAACAAAAGACTTTTTCCCTTTCTCTTTGCTTAGGTATCTTGCGATGTCATCTATGGATGAAAACAATGGCTGGTATGGTGGAACTTTGCTTGGTGATCTTGATGAAAACAGCGATATATACAAGCACTATGCCCAGCTCTGTGAGGTACCATATAACTATGATTTACAGATTTTTCTCATGCTGAAACACCATCAGTCTTTAACTTCTCCTTTGTTATGTCATAGACTCAGTAATATCTATCTGGATAAGCTGTTATAAAATTTTCATCAGAAAATATTATTTGTTTCTTATAACTATGTTTGAAAAGATTGCATGATAGTACAAGGATGTATAAGAATGACTTCGGCTTCCTTTTCTTGCAACTTAGCATTAGCTGATTTATTAATCTGGAGATACTTTAAAACATAAAACTAGTTGCTTCTAGCCAAATTTTTCATACAGGAGGTTAAATTACAAGTCTTAAGATTTAGAGCACTATAACTTCGCATGCGGGTGGAGTGTATGCCCAATGATTTGTATTTACCTGTGTGGTTATATAGTGAAATGTTCCTTACTAGAGTTCAAACTATTTGGACATCTGTCAATAATGACAACTCTCTGTTGTCTGCAGGGTCCTGGCATGGAACCCTTTGAAAATGATCTGGAGATGGAGCAGCATTATGCTGATGTCTTACATGGAAGCATGATTGAGAATGTTGATGTTGCTGCCATCGAAGCTGAAATGGAGGCTGCCTTAAGGGAGTATGACCAAGTTGCTGCTGATCTTGGCATTTCCGCTATGTGTAGATCTCTGGCTGGAGACCCTAGCCAATTAACAAGATGGATAATTGGAGAAGAAAAATTGTACAGAATCTGAAGATTGAAGAGGCGTCAGTTTTTTTTGAAGATGACGGGATTTTGTTCCATTTTTCTTCTCCTTGTAAATATCAATATTGTATTTTATTTTATTTTTTTCATCTCAAAGATCTTTAGTGACTTCAGTCGGTCACTGAATGAAAATTGGAAAGTGTAGGTAATTTTTTTTTTTTTGGGAAGTAATTAAGCTGTATAGTTCTGTCATTGTAGTAACTGAGTTGATAATTTGTAATTGTAATCAAAAGGCATATTTTGATCTCTATTTTTTTACCTCACTTCATCCTTCAATCTACACCTCTTGTATATAAGACTTCAACAATATCTGTAGAATTTTAACAATTTTGATTATTAGTATCTTTAAAACTTCGGTGTAATAAAGTAATCGTTTACTTGGTTGACTGAAAACCCAATACTCCACTAAACTCAATTTGTTCGAGTGCCAATGCGAACATATAAAAGGGACAACGAACTTGGATCATTATGATAAAATCGGCCCCTGTGTCAAGCGGTGCATGTGGTCAAAAAATTGGAAATCAAGCCTTATTTCATAACAAGGCGTGCAATCGTGTATAGTTTGTTGACAAAGAAAGTACTTCCTTCGTTCTCAATTGATTGCTACCAAACTATATTTTACTTTATCTTATGTTTTACATACGTTTTAACGGAGTGATACTAATCATGGACAAGTATAGGACAATCTTTTAGGGACGATTAAAAAAAAATGGGAAAATTTTAAGGGACAAAAATAGTACAAGTAATTGATTGCAATCCAAAACGCACTACGGTTATGCTCAATTAAATTTCAATGAAAATGACATGACCGTGCCAAGAAACTATTGTATCAACCTCTATATAAACTTTTTTTCTCGAAGGGAACCTCTATAATTCTATAAATAATACATTCTCAGGGCACAAACAAGATCAACGAGAGTTTCTTTCATTATATCAAACCAAAAAAGAAAAACCATAATTTCTTTTAAGATGGGGATGATCAAGAGAAAAGATTCCACAAAAAGAAACTTAATTTTGTTAATAATAGGATTAGTTAGTTGGGTTAATTGTTAATTATAATGTTAAGCAAGTAGGGGCCGTAACCCCTGCACAATGCTCATTAGAAAAGGATATTTTGATAAAGGCATGTAAGCCAGTGGTGTTTAGGGTTCCACCAAGTGCTTTTTGTTGCCAAAGGTTAAGGGTTACTCATGTTGAGTGTGTGTGTAGAGAGATTACTCCCAAAATTGCACCTCTTATTGATGTCAATTATGCTATTAGGGTTGTACAACGGTGTGGTCTTCCTGTCCCTCGTAAATTTCAAATGTGGAAGTAAAGTTTTTCTCTCCTCTCTTTTCATTTTTCTAATTCGTTAAACTATCTTCGTTTGAACTGAATTAGATGTTGTCAATATCAATTAACAAAGTTGCTCTTATATTTATTGCAGGTATTACTACTCCTTGAGCATATCTGACCATCTAGAGACACAAAACTCGACCAATGACATATAACTAGTATTATATGTATGGAGTATTTCAATCCATATGATATATGATGAATAAAATAATGTCGTCATCCATTCTCCTTTTTTTGACAAGCGTCATCCATTCTCCTTGCCTCATAATATATGACGCACTATAAATGTAATATTGTAAGACTCCCTCCACCCTAAAGTAATTATCAAGTTGATAGTGTTTGAATGAGGTTTATTTCAACTTTCTTATTTAAAACGTAGTATGAAATATCGGTAATACGGAGTACTTGAATGTTATATTTCTAATTTTTCATTGCAAATTTTGTTTGAATTAATTCTATCATCAAAAGTTAGTGATCATCAAATATTCTATATTTGTCCAACACAAATGAAGTTGCATCGAGCCATGGAGTAAGAGGCTATCAACAAATGAGAAGACTAGAGTTGTATTAGCTTACGGTCCTGTTGGTCCACGAAATCTCTCATCGGAGCAATACTGATAATGGACCGACTTGGTACTCATTAATCAATACAATATGAAAATGGCCCAAATGCCAATAGTATACCTTGTATAGTTTGAGAGCACTTTTCCCTCAATACTGCTAGAATATGTTCCAATTTCACAAATATAGTCTACTTTTATATTTTTTCAATCTAGACCTATGACAATATAACATGCCATGTAAATAATCTAGAGAGAAGAGAGTAAGAAATAATTCAAGTGGTTAAAGTTCTCTTCTCGATTTCAAGAAATCTTGGGGATCGATTCTCATCACTCGCACTAGAGAAAAAGATAAATCATAATATTATATGGTCTATTAATTATGATTTATCTTACAATATATCAAATGAAATCATTAAGAATTACTAAACTTTAATTATATGGTCATAATAATTAATAACCGGCTCCTAACAACTACTGATCCATATGAATTGTGTCAAAGTCGCACTAGAGCACTTAAATAAAAATGGATAGAGTAATATTGAAAAGCTTTTTTTTTTTTTTTTTTTTTTATAATTTATTTATTTGAAAAAAAATAATGGTGAAAGAATAAACAAAAGTGGAAGTGGAATCCTGCAATTATTAATTAAGTTTGGTCCAGTAAAACCAAACAGCGCTCAACAACAAAACTTCCATTGAAGCACCAAAACCTCTGCTCTCTTTCTCTCTCCTCGACTCGCCTCCGTTGCATCGATAAATGGAAGACATCGAAGATTTATTGGTCGGAGAAGGAGGCGTTGCTCCTGGGTTTCGATTGCCCCTTTCTTCTGTTGGGTTAAACCCTAAGAAAAAACCCATCAAATCTAAATCATCTTTTCTTCAAGACCCACTTCAGTCCATTAAAATTCCTGGAACCCAGGTCTCTTTTTCTCTCCCACTATGTTTTTTTGTTGTAATTTTTATTATTATCTTCATTATTTTTGAGTTTGTTTTTGTTTACATTCATTAATGTAAATTCCATGTCTTTTTTGCAGATAATTTATATCAAAACTTTTGGATGTTCTCATAATCAGGTCAGTAATAATAGTGAAATTCTCAATTTCTGCTTTGTTTCTATGTCATGGTGATTTGAGTGTTTCTTTGATTATTAGGAACCTGTAGCTGTTGGAAGTATTGTTGCTTGCTAATATGGTTTAGTCTGCTATTAATTTCAGCTTTGTTGTTAGTGAACCTTGTTTATGCTGTATATAGGTGCTTAGAGTATGTCGGTATTACTTTTGGAGCTCCTATGGATGTTCAATCTACTTTGTTTCGATAATGTTGAGGGTTAGATGAATGTAGTTGTTATCAACTTTCTTTACAAGAAAAAAAGGGATTTCATTGATAAAATATAGCCAAACTTTCTTGAATGTAACCTTTCATGTCTTTGGATTTGGGTGTAGCAGTGATGATTTATTGGCTATTAGCAGGAAGTGTTGCATAGTTTGATTAGTCCTTAACTTTGTTGGGTGTGGGGGGGGGGGGGGGCGGTGGCATATATGGTTCAGTTGATTTGTTTGTGAGTTGAAGTCCTATGCTGGTGGGAATGTGGAAGTGTTCCTAATTGGATATGCAGGAGATTGAGATATTAATGAGTGAAATTTCTTTCTCAGAACTTTTTAGTGCTTTCAGGTTTCTAAAGTGGTTTTTCATATAAGAGAAGAATTAAACTAGTGCAGTAATATATAATTATGGATGTAATAAAATGACCATATATGATATATCTGTATGTAGGAGTTATCGAATTCTCCCAAAAGTCCTTTTTATGCATGCTTAGAAATATACATGTATAGACACATATTTGACAGTAAAGGACAAAATAAATGTTATAAAAGCATAGGGGCAACATCTTCTCCATGTATATCTCAAAACCAAATCCTGACTGTTTGTTCAATAACAGTGTCTAGGTGAACCAAAATTCATTACCTATATCAAACAATTATTTTTGGAGTGAAACACGTATGGACTTGCCCTTGCTAGGGGAATATGAAATTTATAGTGCCTTCTTACCTAAAATAGATACTATCATTTTCTATTCTAATCCTTAACCTAGGTAAGGGCTTTAACCTTGAGGGAAATGTAGGAAAATTCTGAATAGTGAATGGTTTATGATTTGGAGGTGTTTATGTCTACGGGTTTGTTCATTTTGCCTTACCCAAAACAAGTATTATGAAAATTAATTTCAAACAAGGATACCAAATTCATTACAGAATCAAAGTAAGTTTTGGGCAAGTTCAGATTAAAGATTTTTAAGGTGAAAAAAAATGAAGAGATACTCCCTCAATCCTCTTATTAACAATGGAAGAGTATCTGAATTATCTCAAGGTGAATCCTTCTACTTCCTTGTCACAAGGATTTCTGTAACTGAAGTTCTGACCCATAGGGTGCCTTTAAATCCTGAAAAATTATGAGGAAGCCTATAATCCAAGAGATCCTTTATTTTCTTATAGTCCTTCACTCCTTCCAGAATGAAATTAACGCACCCTACTGAGTTTGAAAAAGGGCCAATACTCAAGCATTGGATGTTTAGGGACTATTGTGAATATTAAGTTTGTAGCCTCCAAGGCATCCAGACAATAAGTTTAAGGCCTTTATCTGACGAGTGATGACTATGACACCTAAAATTGAGCTCTAATGGAAAGTACCATAGTCATTCTTTATTAAATTACATTCAGGGATCAAGTGACTACATGTCCATTGCCCAAACTGTCTCCCATCTTAGATCTGCGCAACACTCCAGCCATTCTCCAGCTTAAGTTATTGTTTGGAGTAGCCATTCATGACATTAGGAAAGAACTGTTGTCAAGAAAAAAGGGAACCTTTTGCTTATAATATTTGTAGTGAAAGTGGATGTATGACAGCTTCGGATATCTTCAGACAACATGAAGTGCCATCCTTTTTGCAGTTAAAGACGACAAAGTGGTGTATAGGGAGAGCTGAACATTTTTTATTTTTCCTAAACTCCCCTTCATTTTTTCTTCATGTGTGAGGATGTCTTGCACTTGAAGTTTTGTGCCTGATCAAATGAGTAGGAGTATGTGTTCTTAGTATGGAGTTACTGTTTTTACTTTTAACAGGGTACAGGTTTCATCATGCTTAAAGACTGATAACCTTGAGCTACTGGAACTTGCTAATGTAGTTTCTGCAACTTACAATTGCTTATGGACATATCTTGATGTATCAGAGTGACAGTGAGTACATGGCCGGTCAGCTGTCAGCCTATGGGTATACCTTAACCGACAATCCTGAGGAAGCCGACTTGTGGCTGATTAATACGTGAGGATACCTTCTTACTCTTTTTGATATAGTTTAGATTACTAAAGACTCCTTTTGTTGATTAAAAAAAACAGAGATACTTGAATATTGATGGTATATACTTATCATTCAGATTACATATTGTGATTTTGGATTAATTTCAGGTGCACTGTTAAATCACCTAGTCAATCTGCCATGGATACTATAATTTCAAAAGGTAAGGGTGCGAAAAAACCTTTGGTTGTGGCAGGGTGTGTGCCACAAGGAAGCCGGAACATAAAGGAGCTTGAAGGAGTTAGTATAGTTGGTGTGCAACAAATTGATCGTGTTGTGGAAGTTGTTGAAGAGACCTTGAAAGGCCATGAGGTGCGGCTTTTAAATAGGAAAACATTGCCTGCTCTTGATCTCCCAAAGGTAATTTTATCATTGTTTTCTGCAGCTCTCACAGTTGTGTCATTACCAAACAACATAAGTTGAGCTGATGAGAAATACTACCCTTTTAGCAACTGAAGATGGTTTGCTACAATGCTTTATACAGGTGAGGAAGAACAAATTTGTTGAGATTCTTCCTATTAATGTCGGTTGTTTAGGTGCTTGTACTTATTGCAAGACGAAGCATGCACGTGGTCATTTAGGAAGCTATACGGTGGACAGCCTTGTAAGTGCCTTGGACTTTTTGAGATAGCTGCTTGGTTTGACGTTGGTAATGTCCTGAGGTCTGACATTCTGCAATGCTTCAGGTTCAGCGTGTAAAAACTGTCATAGCTGAGGGAGTTAGGGAGATATGGTTAAGCAGTGAAGATACTGGAGCATATGGTACATATTGATATCTTTTTCTTGAATCTCTCTTAGTCTTGAAATAGATTGCTCAAGTATCTGTACAACTTTCAATTCCTAAGCCTCTAAGGTTCTACAACTTCATTTTGTGCTAAAATTATAACATTGGAACTTTTCAGGCCGTGACATTGGAGTTAATCTTCCTATTCTTTTGAACGCGATGATTGCGGAGCTCCACTCCACTGGAAGTACAATGCTTCGTGTCGGGATGACTAATCCACCTTATATTCTTGAACACCTGAAAGAAATAGCTGAAGTATTGTGTCATCCTTCTGTGTACTCCTTTCTTCACGTTCCTGTTCAATCTGGGAGCAATGCGGTCTTAACTGTATGTGAACGTATTTCTTGTTAGGCTATTATTCTCTAAGTTGTGTCAAATTTTCCTTTTTATTCTTGTAAATTTATCTATAACAGAATATAATAGCAAAGGTCTTATGCTCTGAGTTTTGTGTGCTCTATTATGCTGGATGCTGGGATTTTTTTTTTTTTTTTATTTTTTATTTTTTATAATGTCGTTATGACATTGTTTCAGGCTATGAATCGAGAATACACTGTAGAAGAGTTCAGAACTGTGGTGGATACATTGACCAAACTGGTCCCTGGGATGCAGATTGCAACTGATATTATATGTGGTTTTCCTGGTAACTATGGGATTTTTTCTAACCTAACCCTTTTTTTAACCTTATTATTTCAAGAGAGGGGGGGGGGGGGGGGAAGGAGTTGTACTAAAGTCTCTGTCTTTGATAACATTATCATATTCTATAAAATTAAATTGCGTTTAATATTTTAGTGTTCATGTATGGGGACTGAAGATGTATCATTTTTACTTTATGTGGGGTAGAGGTCAGGGGAAGGAAAAGTCTAGACTATTTGTGATACTTGTGTGTATTACGAAGTATAGCGTTTGGTATCTCAGCCTTTCAGGGCATGCAGTATATCTGGAACTTAGGCACACATCCATTTCACGGCTTGGTGTGATGAAATTCTTGATCATATAATCGGATGAGTCCTTTTTGCTAATTGCCATTTAAACCAATTGGTACTTTCTTTACCTTAAAATCGGTCCTTTATGTTCTACAGGTGAAACTGATGATGATTTTGCTCAGACTGTTCAGCTTATCAAGGACTATAAGCTTGCTCAAGTTCATATTTCACAATTTTATCCTCGACCTGGTATGCTAATCTTGATTGCTGTGTAGTTATAGCTTAAAGTCTTAAAACTTGCCGTCAATATATAGTGTCTCTCAAGTCTCACCATGCTATTGTGCATGTGCTAAATAAGACCACTAAAGCATGTGAGTTTGCCATGAGACTCAAGCCCCTTCATACATGAATCTTCATGATTTGGCTAAGTATGAGAAAGTAGGGCTTAGTCCATAAATGTTCGAAATCTTAGGGTAAAGCTAATGCTGTATGGTAGATTGTCCTAATTTATCAACTGTGAGGTTAAAAGAAGGCTGGCCATACTTTTAATCTGGATAATTTGGGGGCAGTTTGGATTAGCAACACTGAAATTACTTTGATGCACACTTGGGTCTAATCTGGGTGAATTAGCGGTGGATGATGCTGAGAGAATACTTTGAGCTTGTGTTTTGGGGTGTAGGTAGAGACACTGAAACACAATGGAAAAGGGAAGTGCTTGAAGCACTTACAACCTCAAAATGAGAGATTGCATCTAATGCTGGGTAGGTCTTCAAGTCTCACAATTATTGTGGATTCTTTTAAAAAATGTTGTGGTAACCAAAGTTACACACTAACACAGCAATAAATATGAGAATATAGAATAACAACCAAGATAAATAAGCTTCATGCACATGGAAATTTAAACTGGGTTTTAGATTAATTAGTTATATTTCACTTAACTTAACAATGAACCTTAGAAGGTTAGATGGGATCACAGAACACCAAAATCAAAAGCTAATATAAAAGCCAAATAAATAAGTAAGACTCCTAATCTAATATACAGGCTTGAGAATGGTCAATACCAAGTTTGCAGATGATTGGAGTTAGGATCTCAGAACTCCAAAATCAAAAGCTATATTTCTAAGGTTATGTGTGGGTAAGTCCTAAATAATCTCTTTCTAAGTAGATTGAGAGTGGTGGTGCTGACCAAGACCATTATGGATCCACTGAATCAAGTTTTCAAAGAATTTGGATCACAACTTATTTCTCCCACTTCACGTCTCCAAGTGATCATAAGCTGTCATCTCAATCCATATAGGACATACCTTGTAGTTAATAGTTCTGAGACTAGTGAGTAGGGTATTTTGTAGACATAAATCATTTTATTTTATTCATAGTAATAAAGAAAATATCATTTGGAGAGTCATATTATTTATTTGGAGAATTGAACTGAGATATGTGATAATTTGAAATCGTGGAACCTCCAACTCAGGATACTCCTTATAATGTGAAATTTGAACTAAGTTCTGGACTCATATCACATAAATTTTGGGGTTTTGATGTGTTATTCTTAATTTAGGTACTCCTGCTGCGAGGATGAAGAAAGTTCCAAGTGCTATAGTAAAGAAGCGGAGTCGTGAATTAACTGCTGTATTTGAATCTTTCACTCCATATAATGGAATGGAAGGGCTGATTGAGAGAATATGGATAACTGATGTAGCTGCGGATGGAACTCACTTGGTAATATGGCAGCAAGATTGTTGTTTTTCTTTTGTTCTATACCTCTATTGCTTTTCTGACAGGGAGTCTGGGATACCTTGAAGCTGCATTTAAGTTTGACCCATGACTTTCTTGCGTCATAGCTGCTAGTTGTCCATTTATTTTATTTATTTTTTTACCAAATTGGGTTTGGGTTTTAATGATATAGAGCTTTATTCTTGTATATTTCTCACTAGGAAAATGAGGCATTTAGCTTATTTTCCCTTTTATATCTGGTAATTGCTTAATGTTTACCATGGTGATCATATAGTTGCTTCATTTTATGACTTGGGACTTGCCTTTATCAGGTGGGGCACACCAAAGGATACATACAAGTATTGGTCAATGCTCCAGAAAGCCTTCTGGGTGCTTCAGCTACCGTAAGGATCACTTCTGTTGGAAGATGGTCAGTTTTCGGTGAAGTGATCGAGGTTCTCAGTTACAATGCTCAAGACAGAACTTTAAATAAGGATGAATTGAGTTGCAGTAAAGTTTCTCCATGTGATGTTAACGATGAACCTTGTGCGTGCTCTAAAGATCCAGATTCATGCTGTAGTGCAGTGCAGTGTGCTGATACTTCAGAAGTGGCTGCGATTCCCAACAATGGCAAGCAGGGAGAAGATGATCAAAATTTTGACAGACTGAAGAAGCGGAACAGCCTTGTACTTAAGAGCTCCGAGAATACAGTTTTACAGGAACCTACTCTGAAGGAGGAGTCCATTAAGGCAAGAGCAAACACAGTGCAGTGGAATATTGTTGATAAATCTCTTGTTGCCGGTATTTTTCTAAGTTTTTTAATTGCTGTAGCTTGTCTTTCTCAACTTTGGTCAAGGAAGTTGATGTCTAGTTAACACATTTTATTTATTTTGCGAACTAGAGTGGCTGTCACAGGACATAGTGACACGAATTTTGCTACGTTGTATTGGCAACTCATTTTTCTAGCATTTGATGTTTCAGAATATTCCACTCAAAGTGGACTAATATATTGGCATTTTTGGCTTACTTGACTGCTATTGGCATATCTAGTTGCATTTGGATTATCTTGCCACATTTACTCATTGATTGTCAAAATTTGACGTTATTCATCAATTTATGACTAAAATTGTACAAAATATGGAATAATAACAGAAAGAAAAGAATCGCTAGGGTCTTTACATTACAAGAATATAAAAGGAAATAAGCGAAGCGATTCTTGGAGAAGTGAGTTCCTTCTCCATGAACTGAACCTTGGAAAACTTATTGACCCAACTTGAGCTGTGTTATAGAAGCATGTCAGATTTTGCAGGCAATCTCTTGAAGAAGTTGACTGGCACTGAAGGCATCTTGGACCTAAACCGTGGATGCCGTAACATGAATAGCCCCACCAGCACTGCAATCACCTGGAAGGGAGTCACATACAGAAAAACTGCACATACCAAAGACAAGAAGATGAATATTGCAGTTGCCCTTGGATCCCTCCAGCTCAGCAATGCTTGAGCTCTCTCTCCTTGGGTTGCTAGATCACCAACCACAGCCTGAACACGACCGGCCACACTCCGAAGACGGTCATACCGCATCCTAACTATTTCGTTGGGTCGGGATGTTGGGAATGTATCAAACTCCTCATCAAGCTCATCAGGGTGGACATGCTCTGCATGTGAAATCCGAGCATCCATATGGGGTGGAGTCCTGGGCCTAAAGCGGTAGTTCCATACTCCTATCACAAACAAGTAAAGGAAGATAGTGGGCAGTATGAGTTCCGGGTAACAGACCAATATCAAGAACAGGATGTGAACAAGACATGTTGTAATAGGGTTTCTCCATGTGCAAACGTCGTTAAACCATCTGCAAACAGCTGAGATTCCTGATAATACTGACATGATTCTGAAGAAATTTGCCTTGCTTCTTCTCAGGCTGAACATATGGATGTCCACATCAAGCATGTATTCTACAACCTCTCGCCGTAGGGGTGGTTCTGCTCGAGCTAACCGGGCAGCCACCATTTGCATAGCTTGGTGCCTCAACCAATCTATGTGTTTGACAGGAATCGGCTGTGCATAATGCATTTTGGGCAGAAGTGGTCTTCCATATTGTGCAACCATGTTCACCCAAGCTGTGCAGGTAAATCTCACTGCTAACTGAAGCTCACCATGCTTCTTCAATCCTCCAGGAGTAAGCACTAGTAAAGGGTAAAAATGTGAGTATATCCGATCAGTTTCTAGTGTTGATAGCCTGATTCTAACCTTTCCTATCCTCTGCTCCTTTGCATCATTCCCACTGACATGATTATTGTCAAACACTCCGACAGTGATCACAGTGCAGGGATCAAAGACCTCCCATGTGTACTGCTCGTTCCACTTAGGAGCAAGAGTGTCAAGAAGGGTTCGTGTTCGAATCCATTTGTTACCATACTTGGCAACACAGTAAGGATCAGTAAGTCTCCCCTCTTTCCCTTTCATGGGTAAGAGATTCTTAGCACTCAGTATCCCAAGCTCTAAAATTCCAATAGGAGCCTTCCTCAGATGCTTCGACGAGGGCTGGAGATCACTGCTAAAGTGGGTGGACTCATCCAACACATGGTACCCTGCTTCCAAGCAGAGCCGCAAGTGAATTTTGCTAGCAAACTTCATCTTCTCCTTCTTCTCCCCATCCTCATCGCCGTGTGAATGCCTTAAGAGGTTGAACCACCGCGGATCAGGAGGCTTAGCTGTTTCCAACCTATGCGGAAGCTCCCTAACCGGGATGATCATCTTCCCTAGGATCTCATCCCTTCCAGGCCCAACTTTATCCTCCACTGTCAAGATCAAAAATTCGTCGAACGGCTCTGAAGCCACAAACATCAGCTCATCATTCCAAATCGGATTCAATGTCTGCATCGGCGAAGGCCTTGTTGCCCTCATCTGGTTCCCAAGCTGAACTCTCACCTGAGTCACAGGCGCACGACCCCTGTCTGATGGCACCAAATCCTGAGCTTCAATCACAAGCACGCGCAAGTAATACAACTTCGGCGAAAAGTACACCTTTGATCTAGTGTGTGCAAGATTATGATGACTGATGGAATGTGCATCAGAATGCCATGCTTCAGGGAACGCCTCATCAGCCTGCGTTCCCATCCACACTGCAAGCATAATCTCTCCTCTGTTCCCTCTCTGACCCTTCTTATCCTCAAGCTTATACCACTGAGGAGCCAACGGCGAATCAGGCGGAACTCGAAGAGGAACTTCAGTCAGATCAAACATAACCCTCCCTACAAAATCATCCTTTCCAAAATCCTTATCCTTAACAATAACTTCCAGCAGATTGGATTGCAATCTCTCCTTAGAAAAAGCAAAAATCTGATTCCAAACAGGATTTTGATTCTTCTCAAGATGCTTAGTTACCCCTTTATAGTTCCCAAGCTTCACTTCAACATAAGGGTCTAAACTCCCTGTAATGTCCATTACAGGAAGATCTCTCGCCTTAACAACACTTGCATACAAGTAATGCATTTGCTCAACCAGATCGTAGGTGCTACCGATGGTATCCCCTTTTCTGTATCCCATGTGTGCCGCTACGGGAGGCCGAGTCTCCACCAGCTCATAATCCGGCTTCTTCCCGGGAACCTGCATCATCATAGCAGGCTGTGGGGCGGCTTTCATGAAATCCGCCCGAACTTCCGTCTTCGGATACGATTGCTGGGTTTGGTGGTTAGACTGAGAAGGCGGAGCTTGTTGTTGCTGCTGTTGAGAAGAGTTGTGAGATTTAGCTGGAACTGAGTAAAAAGTTCGAACTTGAGGTTTTTCTTTTTCTTGCTTTTTATTCTGCTTTTGATAATGGTGATCATGATGATGATGATGGTTGTTGTTTTCATTTCCGAATTCTCTCTCCCCCACTTGTTCATAATTATTTCCGAAATTAGAGGTAACATTATTTGGATTGATTTCTTCCAATGGCGGAACCTCGGATTCATTATTCTCTCTCCTATCTTCCTTGTTAGGAGGCGGAAAAAATTGAAAAGATGGGTCATTCACCAAGAACATCTTTAAAGCAATATCCCCTTTGATATGAGAGAACATCCCTCTCTTATCAAGGGGATACCTCTGAACAGAGGCTTGGGTTTCCGTCGTAGCAACGGAAACCCCGGAAATCCGGACACGGCCTAAGAAGTTCTTATGATGGCCGTGTCCGGATTTCTTATCGTTATAGACAGTAACCTCAATGGTTCTGTCGGCGAGGTTTTGTGGGTCGGAAACCTCGAAAACGAGCTTCTCGTTCCACACGGGGTTCAAGTCTTTGTACTTGGTTTGTGTCTTGTGTCTTTGCTCTTCAAACTCAACCTCTACATATGGACTTGCGGAGCCTTGCCCGTCTTTCGGCATGAGGTCGGATGCATCTAGCACCTCCACCACTAGCCTGGCCATGGTGTCCTGGTTGAATGCTTCAAGTTATTGTAAAGGTAAAATCAGAAGAATGGTTTAGTGGAAGAAACAGAGGAGAGAGAAAGTTGAAGAAGAGAGGAACATGAACACATTAGAGTAGAAGAAGAGGAGAGAGAAAGAAGAGAAGAGAAGAGGTTTAGGTGTCGTTTGGTGAAAGTGGGGGGTGTGTTTGATTGACAGAGAGAGAGAATGTGGTGTTTGTCATTATGGAGTGAGTGGGTTGTGATTTTAATGGGAGAATTAATTAATTGTTTGGTGGAGGAAAAAGAGAGAGCTTTTAACTTGCTGGAATTTGTGTGTTACAATTCTTACAAATACTTGTTCTTGTTCATGAATCAGGAAAGAAATTGCACGGTGTAAATGTGTAATGTTCAATTGTTCTTTAGTACGAGTACGCTGTAAAAATATTTAGACTACTGAGTACTCGTGGAAAAGAATACATTTTTCCTCTTTGTTTCTAAATAAAAGTATAATTTGAAATTCTCTACTCGATCTACTATCCACTAGGTTTTTTGGTTATGTCGAATATCGTCAACTTTTTATACTAGTATATAGTTTTATATTTCATGTAGAGTATAGCAAAGTAATAAGTGTTTATTTCTTTTACATATCACGCAATTTCACAAGTCATTATATGAATGAGTTTAGAACTTCAGTCTTGAGTATCATTTTCATCAAAGATCTTACTAACTAGTATAAAGTATGCTAGTTCGAATAATTCGTAAACTCAGAATAGCAAGATGCTGGTTCGAATATACAAATCCATGGTCTAGCATGAAGATTAAAGAGACATAATTAAGTTAATTTTAAAAGGACCAAAGTTGGTTGAAGGAAGATTCACTAAATGCATATTTGTGTGGATTTGTCAAGACTTTTAGCCAAAAAGGTCAACATTTAGATTTGTTTTATTTCAATTTGCTTAATTTTAATGACAAAACAAGGGTATGTAAAGGGTATAAAATTTTAAAATTAAATAAATGAACCAAACTTTAATTTTGCTCTATCGTAAAACAGGTTGGATGAAGGCTCCCCTTCAAACTTTTTTCCAACAACCTTTTTGCTTTTTTATGATTTTAATATGCATTTATTTTGTGTTTCACTGTTGCTTCAAATAGAAAGTAGAAAAATGATAGTATTATTCTATGGTAGCATTTAATTGAATCTTCTAAGAAAAAAGCGAAGAAATTAAAATTGAATGTAAAAGAAACGTACACGGCCGATTTCAGATATTTTTGTATATGAGCATACTTTCTTATTCAATTGCTTTATTCACCTTATTTTTATAAATCTTGAAACTGAAAATAAGTTTATACAATAAAGATAATATATAGTTCATATTAATCAGTTAATAAGAAATATACGAATTGAACTTAAGAGTAAAACACACAAGTTTTAATAAGTTTAGATAAATTTAAATTAAGATAAATCGAGCACATCCTAGTTGGATGTAATACTATAGAAACGTAGTTGCTAAGTAATTACTCTGTAAGTATGTTTCTATTAATAGCCACTTTCTCTGCATAACATCGATGTTTCTTATACTTTGGTTGCTTATGGTGAAGGAAGCTCCGGGTAACTTCTCCTTCCCTTTTCTTTTTATCTTTTATCTTTTTCCTGTTTTAATAATACAACAAGAATATCTATGAATATATCACTCCTAAAGTGATGATGTGTCAAGCATTAGCATTCACTCGTATGAATCATAATAATATTAACATTATACTATTAATAATAATATAAATATTTGATGACCGTTTGGACCAAAACCTAAGCTAATACTTACATCAGCAATTCTCGAGTAATCCCATGATAACGCAGTCTCATAAATTGACATTTGTGCTCTCATCCAAATCTATCATTATTGTTTATTAATATCTGTTTGAGATAGATTTTCCAATGTCTTACGTCAAATGAGTTAGGCTTAGGCTCCTCTTAATTACGAGAGTTTTATAAATGGATACGTCAAATGAATTTAGTAATGATCTATGTGGATATAAAAAATTCTCGTATTACTTTCAATCGAAAGTTAACATTCAATTTATATACAAATAAAACGAGACTAAAACGTTTAATTATTATATTACAGCAACTTTGATATTTAAGTTTTACATGTAGTTAAAGTTTATAAACTTTGAATTTTTACGTACTTAACATAATAACATTTAATAATGGGTTTGGTCCTAATACTTTTTACCTTCCTTTTGGACCATTATTCTCTTGATTGTTGACTATATTTAATTTATTTTATGAGTATTAATATCTTGCTTAAATTTAATAAGATTTCAATAACTAAAGTGTTAGGCATCTAATTAATCTTTGTCGGTTTAGCTTAAGCTTCCAAATGTATATCCATTTATAAAACCCATTAATTCCGGGTCAAAATTGTTTAAACGGGCAAAGAATATGGATATCCACAAGAATCAAGGGCGATGCAAAAGCAAGTAGATAAGGAATATGCTAAAAGACAAAGGGGAGTTTAATTTTTCATTGTGCACCCAATAATAAAAGGAGGGTGGTCCTAGAGATCTTCTAGGATATGCATGTGGTTGTCCAAGTTAAGTCTATATCACAAGACCCTTTTAATGTTTAATACGAATTTGGATCTTGATTCGAATAAATTTGCTTGTAACCCTTTTGCTAAAACGATTCGTGTTGGAAATTCTAATTATATTATGTACGGAGTAATATTTTTGTTTACGTTAAAGTTATTATTTCTCGATATAATTGCTCAGATAGCTAGGATTGATGAAAACACATGCATTATGTAATGGATCTTAAAATCGGAAATCCCTTGCGCATTGGGAATGCCCTTAGCGTAGAGGAACATGTAATAAAAGGTAACAATAAAAGCTATAGTTAAGTGATCTAACTTTAAGTTAATACAGTACTGTGTATTGAAAATGTAATGTAAGAAATTGTTGAAGGAAATCAATTATTTTTCATTTGCATAATGCAATGCCACAACAGGCCAATGCAATAATGAGAAGTTGATTAAAAAAGGTGACGAGGTAACAAACAAGTAGTAACATAGGCTGGCTAAGAGACCAGGGAAATGGGTTGGCTCTTTTCTGACAACAAAGTATATTGTCTAAACTCGCAACTAGCATATAAACATATAAATACACACTTCACTCAACATAAAAATAAAAATAAAAATACACAAAAGAAGTGTTAATATTTCTGAATTCAATTTTTTTTTTATTTTTTTTAACCATAATAAAAGGAACCATGCATATTTTTTGCTTATTTGGTGTTTGGAGTAAAAGTACCCCAGCCACGTGGCCCTATGGCTGAGCGACACGTGGCACCCAGCCATTGGTCAGCAGGGCTCCAATCCCTTGCTGACACGTGTCCTAGAAACCCTAAATGGGGAACCAAGGCTCCCCACTATAAATAGTGGGAGAATCCTCATTAATGGGCATTCATAAATACATTCAAGGAAATTGAATACACTTACACCAAAACCAAGCAATATTAATTGCGGAATTCTCCCATTACGCGAGAAGTAATTTCACTATTTTACGCACTATCTTCCTCCTGTACGTAACTGACTTGATCGTCGGAGGCGGAGCTCCAACCAACCGGAGTCTTCGTGGTTTTGCAGGTACAGGCGGCGAAGGGCATTCTTGGAATTGTAACTCTCCCGCAGGACACATCAAAAAACCCCGAAACATTTGGCGCCGTATGTGGGGAGAGTACTTCTGAGATGACTTCTAATCCTGTACCACCGGATCAGGACAAGCGGCCGTCGGCCGAGCCTGAGGTCCAGACGGACCATGAAAGTGGTGATGATTACGGACTCGACACTTATGTGGCCCCAGACGGGTCCTTCAGAACAAAGCACACCCGTTCCAGGGATAAGAAGGAACGGGATAACATCCAAGCTGCTCCAGGCAACTCAGCCGGCAACCCGGTCGGAGCTGCTCAGGCGGCAGAAGGTTCTGCTCCCGTCACTAGGAACGAACTCATGACCTTCATGAATAGTTTCAAAGGCGAGATCCAGAACCTTATTCGGTCAGCTACTCCCAAGAAGAGTCAGCCGGCCAAGAAGCCTTCTTCTAACAAGAAGGCGATTAAAGACCGGGTCCCTACCCCTCATCCAAAGCCGAAGGAGGGGGAGGGCCTCAGGTTCGATCAAAACCGGCTCTGCTTCCCGCAAGCGGAACCCAGAAAACCCATCCGGCACTTGCAGCTGGATGGTTCAAAAAAGATATTCTCTGATGCCCGGACGTTTCTCCAAGAAAAGAGAAGTCTGGCGTCTACGTCGGCTTCAACGTCGACCTTTCCTGACAGTTTCCGTGACACATCTAACAGGCGCACGGGAACAAGCCTAGGGAGTCAGACGGGCGAACCATCCGCCCGGTCTGGACCCCAAGTGATCCAGCCTGGTCTATTTGGTTCGCCAAATGGGCTGGGTGGATCCCCTTTTACCCAAACGGGTCCATTTGGCAGAAATGTGCAGCAGCCGTTCCAGCTCATGGACTGGCAGCAGCGCCTGCTGAGCTTGGGAGAACAGCCCACGGCGTTCTCCCCTGAGATAACCCAGGCGACACAGCCGGCTAAGGTTAAAAACGTGTTGGTAGGGGCCTATGATGGTACCTCCAACCTAGAAGATCACCTAATGGCCTATTCCAACCTCATGTACCTACAGGGGTTGGATGATGCCATCTGGTGCCGATGCTTCCCGGCTACCCTGAAGGGCATTGCCCAACGGTGGTTTGGTAATTTACCAGCCGGCTGCATCAACAGCTTCAAGACTTTGGCGTACTTATTTACCTCAAATTTCTCAATGAACATCCCTGCCAAAAAGACTAGCCTCGACCTAGGGGCAATACATCAGGGTGACAGAGAAGGGCTCCGGTCCTATGTCAGGCGGTTCAATCTGATGAGAATTCAGATTCAAGGACTGTCTGACGAAGTTGCTTACACAGACTTCTTTAAGGGTCTGAAGGATGGGTCAACCTTCAAGTTCGACCTCGTTCGGAAAAGGGTAGCCACCCTCCAAGAGGCGTTGATGGAAGCTGAAGCCTATATACAAGCGACGGAGCTTTGTGCTGTGAAGCAGCCGGCGGATTCCAAAAAATCCGACAGAGAAGACAGCCGGCAACAACAACAGCCGGCTAAAAAGGAAGAAAAGAAGAGAAAAGAGGTCTGGGCGGCAGACCGATCTGGTCAGCCGGCTCAGAAGCTCAGACGGAAATCTGAACCGTACGTCCCCAAGTACGAGTTCACAAAGGACTACTCCTCCATCCTCATGGAGATAAAGGACCGGATGTCTCTCGACAAACCGGCTGTGATGAAAAGCCCCGTAGACAGCCGGGACAAAAGCAAATACTGCCAGTACCATGA